CAATTTCTTGTAGCGGTTGGTGCTTGGCTCCAGAGAGGGATAGGCAGTGTGAGAGAGTGCGGCTGTGGGGCAGACAGTGCAGGTGGTTGGATGGGGGGTGGTGTGTTGTAACTCCGTTCCGTCGGGGCGCATCAGTGTTCCTGGCGGAAAAACTTTTGCACGGAGGCAATTGGCGAGTGTCTGGCGCGAGGGGTGTCCCATCCGCTGGTGCCAGAGGTCATCCGCGGCACGGATGCCGGAGGTACGCTTGTAGCGGGTGTGGTACTCTGCTGCCTCTTCCGCTGTGAGTTCTGGGATCTGGAGTGGGGGTTCTTCCTCTTCTCTTGGTTCTGCTTCGTTGTTCTCCTCCTCTGCTTCTGCTTCTGCCATTGCTTCCCCCAGCAACAGCAGGGACAACACCAGTACCCCAGAGATACAGGGCGAGAAATTCGCGATCGGGAATGATCGTGAGCGGGGTCGTGGTGCCTTCGATGAAGCGGGCGTACGGATCTGGGCGGGAGATTGGACCGAGTGAGTCTCGCGGAGGTGTTGGCGGTACATTCCCCTCCTCAATCTCCGACCAGGGATCACGCCAGTGATGAGGTGAGCGAGGTGGTTCGTCAATGCGAGGGGGTCGACCAAGGGGAATGGTTACTCGAGGTGATGCTTTGCCACGCTCAGCTTGTATTTCTTGTTCAGCTTCCTCCAATTCCTCTTGCGTGAGCTCCCCTTCATCAGGCTCGTTGTTTCCCCATCCTCCTGTGGTGACCGTGCCGGTTCCCCATGCTCCAGTTGCAGAACCCCAGGTTGCGCCTTCTTCTGGATCAGCGGGCTCGTTGCCCCATCCTCCGCGCGCAGAGTCTGGGTCCCATCCTGCCGCGATGCGCTCCTCATACAGCTTCTGCCGCTTCTCCGCTTGGGTCTTCTCCTGTTCTTCTTTGACGCTCAGTTCCTCTGGTGCGTCAGGGTCTTTCCAGGCAGGGTCAATCTCGTGGCGGTAGACTTCGCAAGTATACGGGCGCGGACGTCCTTCTTCGTCAAGAGTGCGCGTGTTGGCTTCGAGGACGAATCGTAGGGAGTCCGAGTAAGGCCTTGGTCTCGCCTGCTTTTCTTGGCCAAATTTCTTACTTGGCTCACCGAATATGCGGTGTGATGATATGGCGAGTTCTTCTTCAGTCATGCCTGCTGGTTCTGTCTCAGCGCTTTCTGCTTCCTGAATTGCCGCTTGCTCCTTTTCCACTTGCTCCTTTCGACTTGCGGTTGGTGTGTGACAGGTGGTGCACAGTCCGTGGGCGTCAGGTTCGTGAAGATTAATTTCACGCGGGTGAGGGCTTCGATCCGGATGCTCCCAAGACTCCTTGTTCATGAAAGCGAACTCGAGGGGGACAAGATCCACGAGCTTGTCCGACGAGGCTTGGCAGGGAGGTATGTCGAAGTCTAGGATATAGATCCCATTGATGGAGCGAGCTCGTCCGAGGTACTTGAATGCCTCAGGAGGAGTGTCAGGGGGAGCGTAGGTGAGGATGAGATCGCGCGTCGTGAGGTCCGTGTGAATGATGATGCCGCAATCGTGGAGTTGTCCAGTGGAGAGCAGGTTGAAGCGCTGGTTCCGGACGTAGAGTACGTCGTTGAACGAGATGTGCGTGTTGCCATCTCGGCTTGTAGGACAACAAGTCCTTGTGAGCTGGCGCGCAGCTGCTCGTTGTTGGCGACGGTGACATAAGTTGCAGGGGCGCGACTTAGGTTGGAGACATAGCGCGTGGACCCCACCATGTGCTGGCCGCAGCAGCTGTCCAGGTACCAGGTGTTGTAATTGTCAGTGTTGTTACGGCGCAGCAGCAGCGCCAATCGTGGAGTTACCAGGGTGGTCTTGAAGCGCCTGTGGAAGTAAGGATCTTCGTCCTCCTTCCAGCCCACTGGTACGTAGTGCTGATTTTCGTGAGGCGGGCTTTCCCGCAGCGTGATTGGGAGGTTCCAGTCCTGCTCGTCTTCGTCGTACAGGTAGTAGTAGTCCTCGGTGAAGGGATTATTCCATCCCTCTTCCGGTTCCAGAAGTCTTTCTTGGACTTCGTTCTCCTCGTCAGGTTCAGTGGTGCGCCAGCGGCGTGTCGCCATGTTTGCGATGACGTTCCTGGGAGCTCCTGACTGTGGTCCTTGATTTTGCTGGTGTTGCGCAGGAGGACGAGCTTGCTGATGCTGAGGTTGAGGATGACGAGAGTCTTGTCGGCCGACCCAGTTGTTGTGGTGAGTGGAATTTGGGTGACGGTACTTGGATCGGGATTTACATCGATCCGCTGAGTGTCCGAAGACTTTGCATATTTTGCAGTAATGGCGCCTTGGTTGTCGTCGCTCTTCTCGGTTGTCCGTGTAGAAGGCGAGGCGCTCTCGGCGCGGCGCGGAGCTTGTTCTGCTCGAGTCCATATCCTGCTGTTCGGATAGGAGTGCGGCGCATAGCGCGGCTTCTGAAATTGTTCCTCGCTGTTGGAGTAACGCTTTGCAGGGCTTCCACTCAGGCCCGAGTCCTTGAAGAACTATATTGACGAAAATCTCTTCTGAGATCGTACTCCCATGCTTCGTGATCTGGTCACGGATGTTGCGACAGCGGTTAATGTATGGATTTGCCTTCTCCCCGTGCCCCATCTTTATCTCCAGGAGTTGTTGGAGAAGCCTTCGGCTGGTAAACTTCAACGAGGTGCTTCCAAGCTTCCATTGCTGGAGCGTCGCTCTCTTTGTAGGAGCGTATGTTGAGTTGTTCCGCAGGCGTCATGTTGCGTAGCAGCACAGTGTAAGCCATGAGGCACTCACTGTAGTACTGAGCCCTGGCGACATCGGTGTTTTCCACCGGTTTAGGGTAGGAGCCGTCGAAGTAATGGTAGATCTGCGCTGTTTGTAGGAGGAGCTCTAGCTCAAAACTCCATGTGTAAAAATCCTTGCCGTCAAACGCGGCAGTAGTCTTAATCTTTGAAACGCTGAGGAAGAGTGTTTGCGCAGAGTTGATAGCCTCATCACTTGGACAGGGGGCAGTTGTTGCTGATTTGTCTGTGTCGAGGGAGAAGGTGTGCGCGGCGGTATCACGACTTTTCTCAGCCGGTTGTCCAGGTTGTGCTGGTTGGGAAGAGTGTCAGAATCCCAACCACTAGACCATTGGGATAAAAGGGCTTGTTTTAGTAGCGGGTCAGTGCGCCCATAACCCCCCAGGCAAACGCGCCTGTAACCCCCCTTAGGATCGATCGGGGATCTCACAGTGTAGCTCTACTGACACCCCCCCACACTGGGAGGCCCAGGACTGAGCACAGTGGCAACGGCCAACATGTGCATACACCGGGATTCGAACCCGAGACCGCTCTGATACCATGTCAGAATCCCAACCACTAGACCATTGGGATAAAAGGGCTTGTTTTAGTAGCGGGTCAGTGCGCCCATAACCCCCCAGGCAAACGCGCCTGTAACCCCCCTTAGGATCGATCGGGGATCTCACAGTGTAGCTCTACTGACAAAGAGATTCCCGCATCGCCTTTGCGCAGTTCTTGGAGTTCTTTCTCCATAGTTGAAAGTCGAGCGAAAAGTTGCTCGAGGGCGGCAGTGCCGATTGTGGTTGTCGCCTCACTTGTCGCAGCTGGATTGGTTTGTCCTTCAGCCGTCAGATTTTCTTGGCCTCCGGATCCTGCGGCCATCTTGGACTTGGAGCGTGTGCCGCTCGCCAGGTCTTTGTTCGGCGAATTTCACGGAAGTGAAGTTGCGAAGAATCCCTGAGTAGCTCTCATACCATGTTACAATCCCAAGTGGGACTTAGCAAAGGATCGCTCAGGGTTGATCGCGGAGTAGTATTGCAGCGGAAGTTTGAATCTCAGGTCAGAGTGAATGTAAATGTCTGAGTTGATAATAGCATGCATACATCGAGTTTATATATGAGTACAAGGGAATACGAAAGGACCTAGACTAGCCATGTACTCTAAGGGGTACATTCCCTTATTACAACCGAATTCAAAACCGTGCGGCGCGGGAACCCGTTCAAAACCTGTTCCCGCTCTTTTCACTTCAAATGTTTCTGCCTGCATCGGTCTTGGTCTGACGGTTGCTGCGTCACTTCGGCTCTTCTGACTCCTCAACTTCGTACTCGGTAGAGTCGGCTCCTGTAGCATACAAGAATGCCTTCTCATAAAACTTCACATCGTAACATGAGAGAAACATTTGGTTCCACCATGATTTTAGAGGGAGCAATGACAGAAGCACTTTGTTCTGTACGTAGTGTCAAATCATATGCATGTTATATATGTGTAGGCTGTAGTGGGATAGCCAATATGGGGTACAACCCCATTAGGGTTTCATATTTGTACCAAACCCTGATCTAGTCAATTCATCCCTGCTACTACTGTCTAACATGGTATCAGAGCTGCTACAGGTGCTGGCGCTGCAGGTTCTGGAGCTGTTGGAGGTGCTGGCGCTGGTGGCGCTGGAGCTGGAGGTTCTGGAGCTGCTGCGGGTGCTGGCGCTGGAGGTTCTGGAGCTTTTTGAGGTGCTGGAGCTGGTGGCGCCGGAGCTGGAGGTTCTGGAGCTGCTGCGGGTGCTGGCGCTGGAGAATCTAGAGCTGTTGGAGGTGCTGGCCATGGCCTCAGATTGGTTTCGGGCTAGGCTGAAAAATCAGAGTTGGTACAAAATTCTATGCTGAAAAACAGAGAAATCAGCCCATTTTATGCCATTTTACACTACAAATATACAGTAAACCCCCGTATATAGGACCCCCTCCAGTTGTAGACCCCCGGGTCTATAATACGGAGTGGGGTACTCTATTCGAGTCTATCCGAGTTATACCGCCCTAAATGGCTCCTGACATTATAAGACCCCCCACATCCTAGAGAAGTGTGTATTTTCAGCGAATGCAATGGAAAATGGTCCTATTCCATGTTCAGGTACAGACATCACACACATGAACGCGCATGCACAGGCCAATTATCAGCCTAATCCTCTCCAGCAACCCAGATCTCCACCTCCTCCCCCTCATATCGCCCTTCTGCCCACCACTAATCGCCATCATCCTCCTCCTCACCCGCTCCACCCTCCACCTCTGCACCGCCTTCCTCCTCACCCTCCTCACCCTCCTTGTTCTCCTCATCCCCCTCCTCCTCGTTCGTGTCCTCCTCCTCCTCCTCCTCCTCCTCCTCCTCCTCCTCCTCCTCCTCCTCCTCCTCCTCCTCCTCCTCCTCCTTCTCCTCAGCTGAAGAGGAGGCAGCATCCTTGTCCTTGCTCGAAGGGGCAGCAGGGTCAGGATAGAACGGGTTGGGGACGAGCTCCTCAAGCTCCTCCTCGCACACATCCTCCAGCACCTTCACCTCCGCCTTATCGCGGAGGTGAGCGATGGCGATGGCGCACGTCACAAAAGATTTCTTGATCAATTCTTCTGGGACGTCGGCCCAGGCCTCCGCAATCCAGCAGAGAACCTTCTCCGGGGCAGGTTTCTTTAAATTCCCTACGGGAAATGGCACGGGTAGGGGTAGACGTGAGTCACCACACAGTCAAGGCACACTGTGAAACGGATACAACTCACGTGCTTACCTGCAGGGGTGAAAGACTCAATGCCCTCAGCTTGGAACCACGTGGAGTATCGGTGTCGAACCCCGGCCTTGAAGCTGCGGTTCACCGAAACGTCCAGGGGTTGCACCAGCGAGGTGCAACCAAAAAGGATCACCGCGCGCGTGAGCTTGAAGAGCTTCATTGTCTGGCCGACTGCTTCCGTGGTGTGCCCTCGGTAGGAGTCGAGGATGAGGAGCGCGTCCTTGCGCTGCCCTTCCGCTTCACGGTGTGGCTTCAGGAAGGGGACGATAACCTTTGTTGTCCAGTCTTGGACAAGGTTCTCGTCCATCCAGCCCTTTTCCTGGGCTCGCACGACAACACCTGCACAACGAAAAAGAAAGATTAGCGGTGCAATTCCCTTCACCAGAACATCCGGTAAGTCACAACTCACCTCGGGGTATTGGGATCTTCGGCAAGGTCTTCCGCTTGAAGACCACATACGGAGGGAGCTTCAAGCCGCCCGCGGTCACTGCCATCATGACCGTGACGCGCTGCTTCTCGTACCCTGCGGTGCGCACGTGCACGGTCCGAGCGCATTTCATCTCGAGGGTGCGCTCGGCAGGCATCTCAAGGAACAGGGGTGTCTGATCCGCGTTCACGATCAGGTTGAAGGGGTAGGAGTTGAGCACGCGCATCTGCCTCACGAATTCCCAGAAGGCCTTGCACCTCTGCTTGCAATCTGCATCGCACGGGGTAAGGATGAGTCAGGCCAGGTGGTTATGGTAGGAATTTACATCTGAAAACTTCGTAAAGACCGAGGTTGTGGTACCTGCAGCTAGCTTCTGCCCAATCTTTGTTTTCACGCGCTGCGCGAGGGACCACCGCCTGCGGAACCTCTTAGTCCAACGGTGGGACGAACACCACTTCGCCTGGGGGTGGCGATGCTTCATGTAAGTCGCCACCCACGTCTGCAGCAGACTCACGGAAACCGACAAGCCTCTCCCACGGTGCGACAGGAACCTGCGGTAAACCGCAACCTCCATATCGGGGTACTTTGGCTTTCGTCCAGCACCAGTGAGACGTTGGCGACACCCTACCGCTTTGTCGAGCCGCTCCTTCAAGTTGCGCCAGTCGCGGATCTGCTTCGGCTGGACTTTGGCGAGCTTTGCCAAACCTCGGACGCTCATAGGGGGCTGCGCATCAAGCATCTTGAGCCAGTAAAGGTTCTCCTTGACGGTGTAAGCTTTCCGCTTGTTCTCCGTTCGTCGGCGCCTTGTCTCCGGCGTCTCTGCGTCACGCACCCGCTTCTTCTGTCCCCGCGGTCGGCTTGATTCAGGAAATACGGGAACCTTCACCTGCGGAAGCGGACGGCGTGGGCTCCCGCTGGGCTCCTTATCTGTCTCATCGCTGCTAGAGGAACTTGGCGTTGGCATGACGGGCCTGGGCGAAGGCCTAAGAACAGGAGGCTTCTGGACTTTCTTGCGGCGCCCGCGTCGAGCATCGGACGTCCCAGCATCTGGTGATGTCACCATGGTGGCTAAAGTGGGGATGAAGTGGCTGCTAGCTTCGAGGTGAAAAAGGAACAGGCAACCATCTTTTAGATGGCAGCCAGCCGAGCACAGTAAGGGGGGAAGAAACTGGAGGAGGAAGTGAAGTCAGCCCTAAAAAACAAGGACGTGCCAGACGACAGTACGGGAGTCTGAAGCTCCCGCCCTATAGGATCGCACGAAGCGTGCATGGGGTGTGCAGGTCGAGGCGACACTGCGCGCCGGGCCCATCAAACGGTGCCCTTCTCGCTTATGTCAACACCAAGTGATGTTTGTGCCCAATGGGAGGAGGCTTTTAGATAGGGTACGTGATGATGTGGGTTTGGCCCAAGAAGAGACCAGTTCGAGTATATTTGGGAGGTGCTAAAAACGGAGCAATTCCAATTCACTTCTTTGAGCTCCAAAACAGTAGAATTATGGAAGTCAATTTGAAAAGACCCGGGTCTTATAAAATATGTACCATTTAATTATACCCCCCAACTTTTTAAGGCCAGATTATCATAATACCCTAGGGTCTTATATACGGGGGTTTACGGTAGTAAAAAATCCTGTTTCTTCCCAAACAAATGCTGAAAATTCAGCCTCAATTCTGAAAAAGAACTGAAGTCTCAGCCTTTTTTACCTAAATCAGCCTTTTTTCGCTGACTTCTGAGGCCATGGTGCTGGCACTGGTGGCGCTGGAGCTGGAGGTTCAGAAGCTGCTGCGGGTGCTGGCGCTGGAGGTTCTGGAGCTGTAGGAGGTGCTGGCGCTGGTGGCGCCGGAGCTGGAGGTTCTGGAGCTGCTGTGGGTGCTGGCGCTGGAGGTTCTGGAGCTGCAGGAGGTGCTGGAGCTACTGGTGCTGGTGGCACTGCACTGCCGCGACTGTTCTTCGCTCCGCCGTCGCCTTCGTCTCTGCCACCGCCTGGCTCCGTGCTTCGCCAGGTTCTTAGCCTCCCGACTTCTACTGGTCCTCCGTTACAACCTGGCTCACTGCTGCCTGCTCCTTCTCCTTACACTGAGCTGACAGGCGGTCTTGCTGAGCGTTGTGAGCCTGCATCTCGTCCTGTCTCGCCTGTTCGCACTGGCCGTACCGGTCGTCGTATTCCTCGTCCGCGTCCGCCGGCTGTCCCCGGCACACCCCTCATGGCCCTGCGTCCTTCCTCTGCTCCACAGCATGTTCCCCTGCCGTCTCCTCTTGCGTCTTCTTTGCCTGTCGTTGCTGACCCTGAGTCTGACCGGTTTCGTAATGAGCACCCTACTGTCACGCGTCTGCTAGCCAGAGTTGTCACTTACCTGTCATTTGAGTCTGCTGTTGCGTCTGCCTTAGTTGCTGAGCTTGTTGACTTTGCTGCTGTCTGTCGTCTACACTATGCCGCTAGTCCTGTTGCTGAGTCTGAGTCTGTCTGTCCTTCGTCCGTCGGGGATGAGTGTGCTTCTGGCACGGACGTCCTTGAGGACAGGCACGAGGACCTTGAGTGTCTTGCAGCCACTGCGCCTCATCTCGTGTCCATGCTGCTTGCCCCTGAGGGAGACTTGGATGCACCAGACATCCCGACTCCGCGATCTTACGCTGAGGCGATTGCGGGTCCCTACTCCTCTCAGTGGCAGACAGCCATGGACACAGAGATGGCATCCTTGAAGTCCACAGGCACTTACGTCGACGAGGTTCCCCCTCGTGGGGCAAACATCGTCGATGGCATGTGGATTTTCAGGGTGAAGCGGCCACCAGGTTCTCCGTCTGTCTTCAAGGCTCGTTACGTTGCTCGAGGCTTCAGTCAGCGGGAGGGAGTCGACTTCTTCCAGACCTTCTTCCCCACCCCGAAGATGACCACTCTTCGGGTGCTGCTGCATGTTGCCGCTCAGCGTGACTACGAGCTTCACTCTCTTGACTTCAGTGTCAGAGTAATAGGAACGTTGAAAGGAAGGGCCTAGGCTTAGTAGCCTAGGCCCGTACTTAGGTATCGAGCGGGTTTTGCCCTAGGCGAGGTGTCGAGTGAGTTGAGAAAGGAATTGGTGAAAAGAGATGGTTTCACTATAGGTTCAAGGGTACATATAGCATAGAAACCAAATAAGGTGCACCACCAACAACAGTTTAAATAACTACACTAACTACAACTACAAGCAGTTATAAAACATGACAATATATTTCGACACGCCCCCATAATGCTTGTAGGTAGATATGTAGTTACAGCATAGCAAGCAACAGCAGGTACCTCTTCCATCTCCTCACCCTCCTCCTTCCCCTCCCCCACACTGCTGCAGAGCAGCAGAGAAGGGGGGAAAGTGAGGAGTGGTGGAGGGACGGCTGCATGTTGCCTCACACCCGCCACCCCGGTACCACTCCCCCTGCTCCCCCACATCCTCACACCCTCCCCCCCCCAGCGGCAGCTGCAGCGGTGGGACTGAAAGAAGGAGGAGGGGAAGGGAGAGAGGTGACCCAACACTCCAACACCCTCCATCCCCATACCCTCCTCCCCACGGCTGCAGGGAGACAAAGGAAGAAGGGGGGTGGGAAGGAAGAAAGCCGCAGAGCGGCGAAAAGGTGTCGGTGCAGATGGGTCAGGGGCGGCTTCAGGGAGAGCAGGGGCGGAAAGGCCCGTCGCGTGCCAGTGTCACGGGGCGCACGACGGGTAGAAGAATAAAAAAGGGCCCGATCGTGCGCCTAGGGGCGCACGACGAGCAAGGCACCATCGTGTGCCACGGGGCGCACGATGGGCAGATGAAGGGCACCGTCGCGTGCCACGGGGCGCGCGACGGGCAGAGTAGGAGCCACACACCCGTGGGCGGGACTAAGTAAAAATCGTCACGCGCCCTAGGCGCGCGACCGAAAAATCATCGCGGAAGCGTAAGGCGGGCCCACAGGCCAGGTCGTAAAAAGCTCCGATTCCATGTCAGAGTAATAGGAACGTTGAAAGGAAGGGCCTAGGCTTAGTAGCCTAGGCCCGTACTTAGGTATCGAGCGGGTTTTGCCCTAGGCGAGGTGTCGAGTGAGTTGAGAAAGGAATTGGTGAAAAGAGATGGTTTCACTATAGGTTCAAGGGTACATATAGCATAGAAACCAAATAAGGTGCACCACCAACAACAGTTTAAATAACTACACTAACTACAACTACAAGCAGTTATACAACATGACAATATATTTCGACATTCAGCACAGCCTTCTTACAGGGCAGCCTGCACGAGGAGATCTGGCTGCACCGCCCACCAGGCTTCACTGGGTCGTTCCCCTCCAGGTACCCAGTGGAGCCTCCGGCGGCCAGTCTACGGTCTCTGCCAGGCGCCGCGTGAGTGGCACGACACACTGAGGACGACACTTGCGGCCCTTAGGTTTGCTCCGTCGACTGCTGACCCGTCGCTGTTTCTGCGCACCGACACTTTGCTGCCGCCGTTCTACATCCTCGTGTACGTCGAGAACTTGGTCTTTGCCACTGCTGACACTGAGGCTCTCGTCCTAGTAAATTCAGAGCTGTAGAAGAGACACACGTGTCAGAGGTCCACTGGTGATCCCCGATTGATCCTAGGGAAGGGTTACAGGCATATTGGCCTGGGGGGTTATGGGCGCACTGACCCGCTACTTAAAAAGCCCTTTTATCCCAGTGGTCTAGTAGTTGGGATTCGCGCATGGTATCAGAGCGAAGGTCTCGGGTTCGAATCCCGGTATGTGCACTACGGGCATCCCAGTGCGGGGGGGTGTCAGAGGTCTACTGGTGATCCTCGATTGATTTTAGGGAAGGGTTACAGGCATGTTGGCCTGGGGGGTTATGGGCGCACTGACCCGCTACTTGAAAAGCCCTTTTATCCCAGTGGTGTAGTGGCTGGGATTCGCGCATGGTATGAGAGCGAAGGTCTCGGGTTCGAATCCCGGTGTGTGCACTTCAGGCATCCCAGTGCGGGGGGTGTCAGAGGTCCATTTGTGATCCCCGATTGATCCTAGTGAAGGGTTACAGGCATGTTGGCCTGGGGGGTTATGGGCGCACTGACCCGCTACTTAAAAAGCCCTTTTATCCCAGTGGTCTTGTGGTTGGGATTCTGACAACACGTGCACAGACCTGGGTGAGCTGCGCAGTTACCTTGGCTTGCAGATCACCCGGGACAGAGCACGCCGCACCATCACACTGACTTAGTCACACATGGTGCAGCAGGTCCTTCAGCGCTTCGGCTTCACCTGGTCCTTGGCACAGGCCACTCCTCTGGCTACAGGTCACTCGCACTCAGCTCCACCTTTGGACGAGTCCGTAGAGCCGAGTGGTCCTTACCCAGAGCTAGTGGGTGTCAGAATATTATCTTATTGTTCTAGCCTGTAGTGGGGTGCTCTATAGCGAGTACAACCCTTCTAGGGTTTGCTATTTGTATCCTCATTCTTGCTAGTTCAATCCTCTTTCTTCTTCTAACTTTTGTCAGTGGGCTGCCTCATGTACCTGATGACCTGCACTCGTCCAGACCTCCGACGTACAGCACTGGAGGGTACGCAAGTTCAGGACGAGTGCAGGTCATCAGGTAGATGAGGCAGCCAACTAGCTCTAGGTAAGGACCACTCGGCTCTACGGACTCGTCCAAAGGTGGAGCTGAGCGCGAGTGACCTGTAGCCAGAGGAGTGGCCTGTGCCAAGGACCAGGTGAAGCCGAAGCACTGAAGGACCTGCTGCACCATGTGTGACTGA